TTGGCACCACTTGGCTAGACTTCCCACTGAGACACAAAACCGGAACCATTCGATTGAGCTGGAGGAAGCCTTACTGGACGACTGGAACCGGAAATGAGGTCACGGCTGGGATTTATGATGTCATTGGATGGGTGACCATGTTTGGCAGCTTGACTCGTGAGAGTTTCTAGGACGTCAGTCCTGCCCCACAACTAAGCGCACGTCATACATATAGTTTCACCTTAGACAAGTGAATTTGTTAAAAATTGCCTCTGTTCACCAACCAGAAAATGGGTACCCAGTGGAATAAGTTATGTGACTATTACCTTCTAGCGCCTCACAGGCAGCTTGGTTTATCCGGGTTAATAATAGCGCTTTGAGCAAGATATTTATTCCAGAATGGCGCTATAAAACTGGACTACTATTAATATATTAATATTTCTAGCAACTAAATTTTGCAATCACTGTTTATATAATAAACATAACTGCTGTATCAGTCTAAGAAAACTTATCATATCATTCGTTACACTGCTGTACTGAGACGCCTAATAGTATATTTAATACTGAGCCTAGGTTTAATTAGACTGACTGCTGTATTAAACAGCAATCTTTAAAACTACACTCTTCAAAATAAGAAATGCATAGGCGTATTTCAGCAGTTCATTTAGATATATCTTGACAGCAATCGTTATTAAGACAATTCCTATGTTTATAAAATTTGTAATCATGTCGTGGTTGCTGTGTATTGCGCGCAAACGCATCCCAAAATGTGTTTGTAAACGTTTGTCATAAGAAATGAAAACGATACATGGAAAGTGCAAGCAGAAAACGTTTTCCATGTAATGCACGTGTAATGTGTTGGCCACTTGAGTAGAATCATCGACTATAAAAGGCCAAGCCAAATTCATCATTTCATTACGAAACATACGACGTAAACGAAGATAAAACAATGCCCATATTGAATGCTACTGACCGAATTATTGCCATTGGACGTTTGGAAGCAAGGGAGTCCCAGTCTGCCGTTGCAAGTCACTTCAACGTCCACCACAGGCCCATATATCGATGACATCGAGATACGGACACTGCAGGACAGGTGCCTGGTCTTCGCAGAATTTCCGACCAAACCATCAGAAATCGTCTGAGAGAGAAGTGGGAATTCGAGCATATGACCAAAAGTTGGACCTGTCCCCCGTGAGGAGCCATGTCCTGATCGGTTAGATCAGAGCTAGTGGTGGTTCACGGCAATCTTACAGCAATTCGCTACATCGACCAAATCCTGCGACCTCACCTCCTCCGACTTTTTAACCGCCAGAGGGACCTGTTTCAAAACGACAACGCCCGACCCCACACACTGACACAGCTCGTGTAACAGGTGCCTGTCCCGCCAATGCAAACGTCAATGTCCTTCCCTGGCCTTCCAAATCGCCTGATCTGAACCCAATCGAGCATCTATGGGACGAACTTGATCGACGCGTCCGTAAACGCCACCATCTTCCTCAGACACTTACAGAACTTGACAACGCTTAGCAGGAGGAATGGCGAAGAATTCCCCAAGCAAATGTGCAATCCCTTTCAGGGCGGTGTCGGGTAGTGACGGCTGCAAGGGGTGGTGCCACCAGGTACTGACCTGAACGCCCCCTTGTGTCTACACATGTGCAGTGAGTGAGCTGAATTAATGCTGACAATGACAACAAAACATATGTTCATCCGTGTGTCGAATTTCCTTCATCTATTTTCATGCTTAATCTAATTATGTACATTTAAATACGTTTTATACATTTCCTTATTTTTGGTCTATGCGTTTCTTTTGTGGAAGAGCATACTACCTCACCTCGAAAACCAGCAAAACTGCTGATCCAACGTCAAGAAATATTCACTGAAACATTAACCTAGTTATACAGCACAGAAAACATCATCACAAATCGTAAACACTTTGAGGTCGTTGCCAAACTCTAAAATTATTTGTAGTTTATCAAAATATATGCACCTTGCACATATAAAAATACACCTGCAGCTTCAGTTCCGTCTGTACAAAGACGTTAAACTTTGTGCACAAAGGCCCGGAGAAAACAAATTACTGAAAATATTTTAATTGGTAAACTGATTGAACTGAAACAGTATTTGTTATTGGAAAAGGAACTTTGACCTTTTAAATAATGTTCTGTGTAATATACTGTAGTCAATTCGGGTAAACATTTATAGAACGCGTTTGGACATATGAAATTCTTCAACCGTCTTGCTGTGTATGTGATATGTAGGTTTTATGATTATATTCACTAACAAATAACTAAACAACACAATTACAAAATTTTAATATAAAATCTTAAATTTTCACATGACGTCTGTGATATACAGTTCTGTGGTGATATTACCTAAGCCATAACACTTGAGCTCATCTGGTACATTAATCAACGCCTGTCTGCTGACGGAGCCACTGTTGAAGTATAATGTAGCTGCCCCATCACTGACATCAATACGACGTATAGTCTGTTTGCAGTGAAAACGTACCGATGAATTTCACTGTAAACAAAAAAGTAAATCAAATAAAGTGAAATTAAGATTGCAAATCCTCATAATTTTACCTTGCCACTTAAACATATATATTTCAGAATTTTATTCAACTTAGGATAAAAGTTGTTTAACAGACGATCATAGATTCAAATCGCTATTATTGGTTTGTATTACAAGGGAGTAAACGCAGTAATTGGAACAGTGATACAAATGCACGTGCGGTACGTGATGAGCGTTAACTTAGACCAACCCTACTTCTTCTCGGTGTTTCATTTAATGTGCATACCCCCTTGTAATACAAACCAACAATAGCGATTTGAAACTATGATCGTTTGTTAAACAACTTTTATCCTAAGTTGAATAAAATTCTGAGATTTAAATGTTCAATTGGCAAGGTAAAATCATGAGGATTCGTACTTCTAATTTCACTTTATTTGATTTGCGTTTTTGTTTGAAGTGAAATTCATCGGTACGTTTTCACTGCAAACAAACTATAGCTGCAGCATACGTAGCCAACGTTGATTCAGTTACCTCGATACTTCAAGCCATTTAGTATGTTCCCCTACCTTGGTCTATCTGAAATACTTCTAGCATCACCCGTGAAGATCCGGGTTAGAATTGATCTTCAGTAACCCATGCTTGTCGCAAGAGGCGACTAAAGGGATCGGGTGGTCAGGCTCGCTGGCTTGGTTGACACATATCATTGGTTCCCAGTTGCGCAGATCGATGCTCATGCTGTTGATCACTGGATTGTCTGGTCCAGACGCGATTATTTACAGACCGCCGCCATATAGCTGGAATATTACTGAGTGCGGCGTAAAACTAAACTCACTCACTCACTTCTAGCATCGGCAAGTAACCTTCTTCACTGACACACAGCCCCATAGCATTTATGTTAGTGAGGGAGTTGGGTTTTACGCCACGGTAGCATTTTGTGGGAGACATCCCCGAGGAGATGGAAGTTAAGGAAGCTTACGACTGACCATGTTTCGGGTGCATGCAAGACAGTGATCAAAATGATGCTGAACTTTGGATTCTGGCACATCCAGTGTGTGTGTGTGTGTGTGTGTGTGTGTGTGTGTGTGTGTGTGTGTGTGTGTGTGTGTGTGTGTGTGTGTGTGTGTGTGTGTGTTTGTGTGTGTGTGTGTGTGTGTGTGTGTCGTGTCTGTCTGTCTGTCTGTCTGTCTGTCTGTCTGTCTGTGTGTGATGGTTTGTTCATGAAATCAAAGGAAAATTATTACAGAAATAACTTGGTGTTCCTATTCTGTTCCACTTGCTTTTATCATGTAAAGATAAGAAAATATTACTCTGGTTTTGGTAATGATACCTTCTTTTTCAAACTGATTAAAATTTCAAAGGAACCTGTGGAAATGTGTAGGACAACTGACTCTTGCATACAGGGGGCGGTGGGGTAGCTCAGTGGTTAAAGCGTTCGCTCGTCAAGCCGAAGACCCGGGTTCGATTCCCCACATGGGTACACTGTGTGAAGGCCATATCTGGTGTCCCCCGACGTGATATTGCTGAAATATTGCTGAAAGTGGCGTAACAACATACTCACTCACTCATTCACACAGTGGCATTCGTTCCCAAGCGCCACGCTACATATGCTCTATCAAATGGTGAACAACCTATTTCATTTCGTTAACGCCAATGAGTTTGTACTTAAACATATTCCCACATGAGTTCGACGTACAATCGTACATAACGAAATCAGTAAAATCAGGCAATTGACCGCGTACACGTACTTATGACAAGCTTCAAGCCCTTATGATGAAATACATCCACTTGAACATCAAGTCCTTTGAGGTAGATATTGAGCAGAGAAGGACGTTGCTTTGAACAACTTCGAGTGTGAGTGAGTATGGTTTTACGCCGCTTTTAGCAATATTCCAGCAATATCACGGCGGGGGACACAAGAAATGGGATTCACACATTGTGCCCAAGTGGGGAATCGAACCCGGGTCTTCGGCGTGACGAGCGAACGCTTTAACCTCTAGGCTACCCCACCGCCCCTTGAACAACTTTGAAGTTCTGACGTTATACGCCATTCATGATACCATACACTGTAAATATGGTGTTTTGATCCTAAACGTTTTCCCAAACGCAAATCTTGTCCTGTTTTTTAAACACATGTACCTAAACATGTTTAAACTCTAAACACATTTTGTATTGTGTTTTATATATAAAACAATAGGTAGTTACCTACTGATCTCTTCAAAAACAAAAATGTTTTTACTAATCAATTTTTCTTTCACCGGTTTAATTAAACAGTGTGTTCGATCATGAACGTTGTAAGCTGAAAGAATACGAGCAATAAATTAACGCTGTAAATAGAATAGGATATATTTTTAGACAGCCTAAACCATTTAATTATTTCACTTTTCACGTCTGGGATGATATTACCGATAACTCGCGATGCAAGTCTGGCACGTGCAAAAAGTGACATCACACTGAAGCATGCACTACCGGTAACATAAGCTCCCTGCAGGGAAAGTAAGACTCGCTCTTCCTCCTCACAAATGTATCAACCATTGGTTCTCCAGCTTCACGAAACCTGCCCGCGACTACGAGAGGCAGCTATGAGTCGTTCTACCTTAGAGTGATGGGAGAGTGCTTAATGCTGAAAACAGCTGTGGAGCTGATACCAAACCCTCTCGCCTTGCTCTTTAATCCATACCATGCCTTTCGTACGCTTCAGTCTGTTTCGGAATGAAGAACAACTAACGCCTGATAACGGATTGTACCAGAGAACAGCACTGTGCGGAGTTTAGTTTCCTAGATTTTTACGACATACATCAACGTCCCAGAGATATTTAATAGATACTCTAAGCGTATATTCAGATTAACCTCTGCTGGTGATAGATTATACGGATTTCAGAAATTCAAAGAATTTTGATATTAGGCAGGCTGTTACGTATTTCTATCCCGACGGGGTACCTTGCAGTGTTTTAGGAGGTGATTGCTGGAGTGACTACCCGCTGAGAGTACTTGCTTGTCGTGAACTAAACGTTACTCGATTCAGTGTTCTTCTTTGGGACGAGATTATAGAGGAAGTACAGAACGGACCACGGAGTGTGGATGTAAAATGGTATTTGTAGTGTACTTCAGTCCTGAGTCAATGTGACAGACTGTGACGAACAACGTTAGTGGATAGAACCACAGTGGATGAACATGTCGCAGAAACGCTTCACGCAAGCAAAGGTTGTCATCCTCGGGGGCCCAGGTGTGGGGAAGACAGGTATGTGCATTAGTAAATACGCCATTTCAACGCTATGAGTGCAACACGCACATCTTGATAACTTCAACACGGATATATTACATGGCTATGTTAACATACATATATCATACTTAGTAAATCCTTAGATCTGTATGAGCGTTGGGACAATGATATGAGTTCATGCGTGTCGTGTTAGGAATGAAAATATGTTTTATGGTATAATGAGAAGATGCAAGAGTTAATGTGTGTATTTAATTATGTCTCCATCTGCAAGAGGTTACAAAGGTAGTCACTACATAGCTGTTTGCTTAAGCTAAAACTTCAGTAATATATACTTCATAAAAAGTGGAATTTAACGGGTTTGTCGTCGTCATCATCAATGTTATAACCTGAAACAAAGATTTGTTGTACAAATATTCAGTGTTATTCCTCTTAACAAGAATGGAATGTAAAGAAATTCAATGATATCCCCAAGGATGTTACCTACAAACATTCACTGACAGTTTCTATATGAAGGAACGGAAGTACAAACATTCAATGTTATTATTAACCATATCCAAGATGTCAAATATGTGACGTACAAACATTCAATGTTATTAACTATACTAAAGATGTGATGTACAAACATTCGATGTCATTAACTATACTAAAGATGTGACGTACAAACATTCCATGTTATTAACTATACTAAAGATGTGACGTACAAACATTCCATGTTATTAACTATACTAAAGATGTGACGTACAAACATTCCATGTTATTAACTATACTAAAGATGTGACGTACAAACATTCCATGTTATTAACTATACTAAAGATGTGACGTACAAACATTCCATGTTATTAACTATACTAAAGTCGTGACGTACAAACATTCACTGTTATTAACTATACTAAAGATGTGACGTACAAACATTCACTGTTATTAACTATACTAAAGTCGTGACGTACAAACATTCACTGTTATTAACTATACTAAAGATGTGACGTACAAACATTCCATGTTATTAACTATACTAAAGATGTGACGTACAAACATTCCATGTTATTAACTATACTAAAGATGTGACGTACAAACATTCCATGTTATTAACTATACTAAAGATGTGACGTACAAACATTCCATGTTATTAACTATACTAAAGTCGTGACGTACAAACATTCACTGTTATTAACTATACTAAAGTCGTGACGTACAAACATTCCATGTTATTAACTATACTAAAGATGTGACGTACAAACATTCCATGTTATTAACTATACTAAAGATGTGACGTACAAACATTCCATGTTATTAACTATACTAAAGATGTGACGTACAAACATTCCATGTTATTAACTATACTAAAGATGTGACGTACAAACATTCCATGTTATTAACTATACTAAAGTCGTGACGTACAAACATTCACTGTTATTAACTATACTAAAGTCGTGACGTACAAACATTCACTGTTATTAACAATATCAAATATGTGACGTACAAACATTTAACGTTAATCCCTATATAAAGGACGGAACGTGCACAGATTCAATGTTATGCTTGATGTGTTATACAAACCTTCAAACTATGCTTTATTATAAAGATGCTACGCCCACAGGATAACAAGGATGAGACATAGCTTCAGTCGTATACTTGTATGACGAGGCATACACGCCGTCAGTGCTACACCATGACGACGCTGGGCGCGGATACACATACCCTGTACGTTGTATCATCATCCATGAATCATGGGGAGAAGGTTTATACTGAGCAAGTAGCAGTGAAGTAACATTAAGGAACACCATTGAACAATCCGCAAACTCATTGTCGGGAATCGAACTCGGACTTTGACTCAACGAGTAACACCTATGATTATACAATGTCATATAGAAAGTGGTCAAATGTAACACATATTATACAATACAATAACACCTGTCACTAGATACTGCGCGGAGAACTTGGGATTTGGGATATATTGTGGTGGTGTTTGTGGCGAATCTTTCACACAGCGTTGATAGCCGGGACAAACCGGGTGTACATCCTTGCTTGTAACGACTCTTACACGTTAGTGAGTGAGTTTAGTTTTATGCCGCTTTTAGCAATATACCAGCAATATCACGGCGAGAAATGGGATTCACACATTATACCCATGTGGGAAATCGAACCCGGGTCTTCGGCGTGATGAGCGAACGCTTTAACCACTAGGCTACCCCACATTAACTTTAGTCATATCATAATGTGGTATATGGGGTCGAGCGTATTTAAGAAAGGTTTGTAATTATTTAACGATTCAGTTTTATCACGATCTGTCAGCTTACTGTGAGAGGAAGACCCAGATATATTTGTCCATTTCATAAAACTCAGATGCCGACAGATTCAGGGTAAACTTATAGGCGAACCTGTGATTCAAGCTCAAGATCAGCAGATCCTGGAATGACAAGGGGAGGCAGCTTGTAAGAGTTCTTTCCTCCAGGCTCAATATCTAACTTAATACATTGTATATCACTGGGTAAGCCGGAAGAAGTAATTAACACAGTTCTTCGGTTATATGACGAAGTGTCAGATCTTTATGGGAGGAAAGGCTGAAGTGATAAAAGTCGATTGTATCGTGAGCATGTGTTTACGAAACACTATCAAATAGTGACGGTAAGAATATGGGATTCAAACCCGTGAACAAAGGTTTCTTATATTTGCTCTTCGTCATCCATGCCCCGATATATAAAGTGGGGGAGAAAAGTATACACAAAGTATATACAAAGTATACACTCATATTTGATGTCGGCAAAGGTAACACTAACAATGTTTATTCGACGATGGTGTATTTGGTAGCAATGTTGTGTTTTGGAGCAGTCTTCAGCCTTTTGATAACGACTGTAATTTTCATGTCAGTTTTCCAAATGTATACTTTCTTTTTTACGTCAGTTTATATGATCCCACAAAACACACACTACTAATTATATAAGAAATAGGAAATATAATTTCAAACTCTATCTATTTTCCTCGTATCTTGAACAGCCCAATTACGATAAGCCATGATGTACTACCTAAGATCTAAAGCATCGGGGAAAAGAATTTGATTAGCGATGCGTTGCACTGACTTACTGAACGTGTCTGCTAGTTATACACCATTACCGAGGATGATGTATAGCTGGTGGAGTCGGACATATTTCACCTGTGATACGGACGCTGAAGTTCACGTGTAATGAGTGAATTATTGCTTCCCTCAGTCAGCATTGTTCTACTGTGTCGCGGTAGCTTGTAATTCGGAGGTAACAAGTGCTTAACCGATATTGGTACGTTGTTACATATTCGGCTGAGTCAGTCAGCACCTGATCCTTATTTGAACCAGCAGCTTTTATGACATGTGAGTTTCTGGGTGTATTGGTTCCAGGACTGGGTGCAGATAAGGAGATAAGACGGGGATTTTGAGCAGATACTTCCAAATACACTGAACTCCAGGAAAAGCTTTACATACTGATCCCAGCCTGGGATTCAAACCAGGGTATGTGGTGTCGCGGGCGGACGTTAAACCACTTGACTACTCCACCTCACAAACTAACGCACACTGGAGACATATTTCATACGACAATTACGTGTTAATATGTGTGAGCGAGCTACTGGATGAGTATTGCTCCCTGATGCCAAACAAATCTAACAACATTTACAGAGTCAGGGGAATGTAGCCAGTGTCTCAGTAGAATCACAGAAATATGGCGACTATGTCTAAGCTGTAAAACCTGCATAGATTCGCTGTTGTACGATATCAATACTGTTGTATTACATCAATGCAAAGGCAGTTTCTTTATAGCATTACATCAGTACTGTAGTATTACAACACATAAAGCCTCATTACAGCAGTGTTACATCAAAATATAAGCCTTAATGTAATACTGCTGTAATAAGGCTTATATGTTGCCGTAATACTGCTGTAATAAAGCTTATATGTTGCCGTAATACTGCTGTAATAAAGCTTATATGTTGCCGTAATACTGCTGTAATAAAGCTTATATGTTGCCGTAATACCGTAATAAGGCTTATATGTTGCCGTAATACTGTTGTAATAAAGGCTTATATGTTGCCGTAATACTCATGTAATATAAAGCTATGTAATAATAAAGCATATGTTGCCGTAATACTGCTGTAATAAAGCTTATATGTTGCCGTAATACTGCTGTAATAAAGCTTATGTGTTGCCGTAATACTGCTGTAATAAGGCTTATGTGTTGCCGTAATACTGCTGTAATAAGGCTTATATGTTGCCGTAATACCGCTGTAATAAGGCTACATATGTTGCCGTAATACTGCTGTAATAAGGTTTGTATGTTGCCGTAATACTTGATGTTATATAAAGCTTTATATGTTGCCATAATACTGCTGTAATAAAGCTTATGTGTTGCCGTAATACTGCTGTAATAAAGCTTATATGTTGCCATAATACTGCTGTAATAAAGCTTATGTGTTGCCGTAATACTGCTGTAATAAGGCTTATATGTTTTATGTGTTGCCGTAATGCTGCTGTAATAAAGCTTATGTGTTGCCGTAATACTGCTGTAATAAAGCTAAATACCGCTGTAATAAGGCTTATGTTGCCGTAATACTGCTGTATAAAGCTTATTTACCGCTAATAAAGCTTGCCGTAATACTGCTGTAATAAAGCTTATATGCTGCCGTAATACTGCTGTAATAAGGTTTATGTGTTGCCGTAATACTGCTGTAATAAAGCTTATATGTTGCCGTAATACTGCTGTAATAAGGCTTATATGTTGCCGTAATACTGCTTATATGTTGCCGTAATACTGATGTAATATAAAAGCTTATATGTTGCCGTATAATACCGCTGTAATAAAGCTTATGCTTATATGTTGCCGTAATACTGCTGTAATAAGGCTTATATGTTGCCGTAATACTGCTGTAATAAGGCTTATATGTTGCCGTAATACTGATGTAATATAAAGCTTATATGTTGCCGTAACATTGCTTTAATAAGGCTTAATTGTTGCCGTAATAAAGCTTATATGTTGCCGTAATACTGCTGTAAT